TGAGAAATTTAAGCAAGAGAAATGGGAGAAGATGGACCGAGCGCAGATGGACCAACTGTCTTATCTGCTAAGTGGTACTGTGGCTGCTGCACATGAATTCTGTCTTACAGCTGATGGGATTACGCTGGTGCTGCCATCCCATGTTCATTCCTTGGGAATTTCTGTTCCCTGCTTAACCTAACACAAGGTCTGGACTGAAGGGCAGAGACAAGGAAATGGCTTGGCTAAAGCTGCTGAGATGCTGTGCACTCTGTAAGTCACCATTTGCCATTTCAAGTAGACTTTGACTGGCCAGCCTCTGACTGTGGTTTCATGGGACACTTTTAAAAGCAGTGCTGTATAAACACTGAGAGCTCAGAGCTGCTTCATTCGCCCTCCAGGCTGTGTGCAGTGGCAGGGTGGCTTGGAGGGAGACACCACCTCTTCCACCATCTCACCTGTTTTCTTCAGCACCAGTGGAGAAAGAGGAAAAACAAATCCATGCTGGTTTCCTGGGTGAGCTTTGGCCCAGCTTTACCCTATACTGGTGATGAAGTGGGGCTGGACCCTCCACACCAGCACAAGGGTCTGTAGGGGACCCCACACCTCCACACGGAGACCTCACCCCAACACCTGCAGTCACCTCCCCAGGCACAGCAGGAAACCTCTACACTAACCCTGCCCTTTCCAGGGGTAGCACCTGTGCTCTTTATTTTAAGGTATTTTTCCCCCATATCTCCTTTGTCTCATTTGTGGCACGTTTTAAGGTGCAGGGCTCGTTCCCATTGACAGACTCGGAATGCTGGCAGGGATCGCAGGAGATAAGAACGATGAGGTGATAAGAGTGTTTAACAGCACCGGGTCCTGGGCAGAACGATGGGCCAGAGGGAAGATAAATATTTACACTACATCTTTAGAAGGTGAGTGAATAAAAAGGGCCAGAATAATACAGACTCTGAACAAGCACTGATGCTTAGGAGCTATAATATAAATCTCTGCAGCCTCACACACTCACTCAAGCCAGGGAGATGAAAAATAGCAAGAAAATACTTCCCTCCACTTTTAAAAAGGGTTTTATTTCTCATTTGTTTCTACTTGAGACTTCAACTTCCCAACAATTTACTTTAACCTCATCATCATCTTATTCTCTCTGAAATTTTCTCTCCAAGAAGACTGAGGGTAAGGCTACAGCTCAACACACCAGAATTTACATGCTAATCCCCACCAATACTAAAACCAGGCAAATATAACCAGTCTGAACTCCACCAGATGATTCAGCAGGAGACATCCCCGTGTGCATCCTTGGTCCCAACTCCAAAGCAGCTCAGGCACTCCCCAAGGACCAACACTATGGGATAAAGGATACAGAGCAACCCCTGCTAGAAGCAAAACCAAAAAGCCTGCACTGGTCATGACCAGCTGTTTTTTAGGATTGCAAATAACCCAGGCTGACAAGTGCAGGGCATCCTCTTAAGTTTAGTTCCTCAATTAACTCTCCCACCTCCCCTGTGTGTGCACACAGGTTTGGGAGGGATCCCTTTCTCACTGAGCTGTCCCTCTCCAGGAGCTCTCAGCTCTCTCCTCTGCTCATTCCTCCCACTCTGACCATTTCCTGCTCTGTGCCAGGCAGATATCCCTCAGGATGGAAGGTGCTAGACTGGTTTTTATCATCACCTCTTGGGCCCTTCTCCAGAGCCTACTGCCAGGCCATCATTTGGCCTATCTTCTAAGTGCCTCACAGATAAATTAGATCTGCATAGAGAAGCAATTATTACATTTCTAATGGCATGAACCCTTACAGCACAATCTGCTACTGAAAGGCAAAGAAAATTGCATTAGCTTTTGTTTGATTCAAAATTATGATCAAGGGAAGAGGGATGCTGAAGCCTTTTAAAGCCAAGCCTCTGAGCTGGGGATTTTTCTGTCTGGGGACCTCCCTGCTCATATTCACTGCTGGAGCTCATACTCGTGGTTCATTTAGGAGTACTAATTTGGAGAAGCCTTTGCTTGTAAAGCTGCTGTTAAAAGCAGATCTAAGAAAGCTCAGAGAGAAGAGGATGCCCAGGAACCACCACTGGCTCCCTCCTGAAGCCTGCAGCTGCTAATGCTCCCAAAGGCCCCCAGCCCGAGGAGTTCAGTGTGCCAGGGTTATGCTAATCCCTCATCGCCCTAGTTTCTAACTGGTGCTGTACCTAAATTTCCAAGTGCAATTTCAGTGGGATTTATCACATCTACTATGATCAGCATGTAGTGCTGCTGGCACAGATACAGGCTCTCAATATCCCACTGCAGACATGGCTGTCATTAATTGCAGAACAAACTGATTTCTGAACCCATGCAGCAGCTCATGCAGCAACACTGAAACTCTCAGGGATGTTTTGCTCTTGAGCATTTTCAACCCATTTTGCAGCCAGCACTGTGTGCCCAGCTGTGTATTTGGACATATTTATAGGTTATCCAAATAATATTTGCTACTGCCTGTTACTTTCAGCACCAGGCATCTTGCTGCTCATCAAACAAGTGTGTTGGTGCAATACAAAAACTGCCAGGAAGCTGCAGGGATCAAAAATGTGTTTGGAGAAGTCAATGCCTAAACCTGTAACAAGTGTCACAGTGCTGTGGCTGAGCCAGCCCCGGGCAAACCATGCAGATGCCATCCCAAGCTATGGACAGGATGATATTCCAAAGGGCAGGATGCTAATATCCGCTTCTCAGGGTGCTTCCCTGCCCCCTCCCTGCATAAAAGTTAGTGCTCCTCTACTGCTTTATCACTTTAGCATGGCTGAGGCAGATACCTGCTTATTTAAGGGGCAGGATAAATGGGCTGAGACAGCTTTCCCATCCCCAATTCACTAGGGAACGCTTGGAAATTCCACCTGACACCGGGAGCGCTCTGTGCTCTTAAACAATCTCCCGTCTGATCCGATTGTTCCCCAGTGGGGAGGCAGGCTGCAGCTAGCTCAAGAGTCATTGATTGGATTAACAGCCTAATTCCCAACAGATGAATAGAATACTGATGTCTTGTCAGCCCACATCATAGAAGGAAAACACAATCTGCTTCTACAGCCCCGAAATTTAACCCTTTGCTTCCCTGCTCCCCCCCCTCCCCGGGGCTGGATGCAGGGTCCAGCACTTTCAGCTGGAGATCTTACCTATTTAAATGAGAAAAGATTTATTAACCTTTGGGACACTCTGCCTAATCACTGACATGCCATGTTATTTTCTGTAAGAAACCTTCTTTTTCACCCTTTCCACACACAAGAGATTCATACCAGGGACCTTTATTATTATTTCTCCTCTCTTTTCCACCTGCCAATACAGGGAATGCTGCATGCTTCACAGTAAGCTGCTGAAAATTCATCAGCTCAGTGATATTCCTCCTGAAACACACAGATATTGAACGTTTTCTGAGTCTATCATTTGATCAGCAGGATGGACCCTGCCTGGAAAGGAACATCCAGCTGTGCTGCAGGAGAGGCATCCCTGCAATGCCCTCTCCCTCCAAGAGCTCCTGCCAAGCTGTGGGGCAGGGGAATCAAGCTGGGCACATCATTTGCTCTTGGAGAGCTCCTGTTCTCCACCTCCTAATGGAGACACTAATGTTTTCTTACCTCATAGAAAGACTGTGATAAGAAATTAATTGCTACTGGTTCAAATGTTCACTACCACAGAAGCAGGACTGTGTGCATATTAAAGAGATTCTTCAAGAACAAAATTTATTTACTGAGTCCTTGGCACTGTCTGCATTTATTTCCTTGTTCAGGAGACAAGAATAAATAAAAATAATCTGATTTTAAGGAATTAATTCAAAATGACCCTATTTTTTTCTCAGATCACTGGGGTCCATAATGCTGTGGGTTTTTTTTGCTTCCAACACTCACCTTTTATGCTTGCACTTACAAAATACAGGCAGGTATGTGAGGGTGTTACTATGAGGGTGGGGAGGCCCTGGCACAGCTTTCCTAGAGAAAAGACTGCAAGGTGTGTAACACCCAAGATAAGCCAGGCTGTGCTGTGAAGCAGAAATAAGGTATTTGCAGTTTTATTTGGGTTTTACAGCTCACATGCAGAGTGGAAACACTCCCTCCATCACTCCTTAACTTTACCAAACTAATTAGCCCAGCTAATAGGAGAGAAAGCATGAAAGGATGGAAGTGCACACCCTTTTTCCCCCCTTCTATAACCAGTAGCTTCTAGTCATGACAGTTTTCAAGACTACAGTGTCTTATAACATTATTATATATATAATAAACTTGCTAGGAGACTGAATGAAAGAAGCAGTCCTTCCCTCTCCTGGCTTCCAGCACAGCAACCTTACAGATAGTCCTGTCTTGAGAGAGACAGTGTGTCACAGAGTGCTCACAACATGGGCAGTGGGGAGGCATTAATGACAGAGCTGCCCTAACCAAAATAATTAGCCAGAGACGCCTCATCGACTCAAACAATTCAATTAATGCCCTATTAGTATTTTAAAGTGGTTCAACTTGTCAGCTCTCTTTACAATTTGAAACCATAATGTTTAATTTTCATCCCAGATGTGAATTGTTCCAGGATGGCAATAAATAAATAAATAGATAAGTAAATTCAATGAGCCTGTCCAGCTCCTGTCCTGCAATAGGGGTGCATTGTACATTCACGAATCCAGGTTAAGGATGGGGACTGGGGCAGTTGTGGCCTGGAACTAGCAGACTGCAGGTTTTATAAATACATACAGAAATAATTAAAATCTAAGGGGTTTAGAAGGGTTAATCTCCTTTAAATAATCTCTGCCACAAAGCCTGTAAAGTCACTGCTGGCACGATGCCCGCATGGGACCGGCTGTCGGGTATCAGGACAGCACGTGTGGATGGGAGCAGGGAGATTAGGAGGCAGAGGTGGCCCATCAGTGCTGCTGCCCCACAGATGGCTGCCCCAGGGGCTGCAAACCTGCACGAGCAGGGCTGGATCCAGCACCAACCAGTAAGTCAACATGCCACTTGTTCCACCTGATTAAAGAGAGAGAAGGGTGCTGGATTAGGGAGAGCATTGCTGCCACTGCTTGGTTCACCTCAGCCCGTGCTGACTGCAAGGCAAATGCTGGCTGATATTTATTTAAAGGGATTCAGGGCTTTGGAAGTAACTCCTTTTCCTCTGCAGGCTTGAACCTAAAGCCCTGCATGGTGGAGGAGATGTTGCACTTTTAATGGTCAGCTATAACAGCTCAGAGCTGCCACTCTGCCTTTCCAGATGTATTCTTCGTAGAAACTGTCATTTAAAGCCAACAACTGAGTGACCACGAGAGAGACAAAAATCCAGAAGAAAGCAGAGAAGCCACCCCTGTGTGGGTTAAAGCAGTGCCCATGGGTTTGATTCCCTTGATTTGGGCAAAGGCAGGCCCAGGTGAAATGCCCAGGAATGCCATGGCAGAGCTGGAGCACTGGCAGAGAGGTTGTGACACGAGGACAGGCACAGTTGCAATAAAAGCCAAGTCACAATGTGCTGCAGGAGGAGCAGAGGTGCTGCTAACAGCCCAGGGTGCTTTTTCTCCTTCAAGTCAGGGAGGATAAAGACTTTGGAGAGTCTTTTAGTGCCATAAACCTTCCTTGGCTTGGTGTGCAAAATCAGCACTTTCCGCGTTGAGACATTCTGAAGCATCCTCTGAACTCATTAGATGAGATCTGGATTTTATTAAGCCAAGCTTGAGAAATCCTGGGCTAGCAGGGAAGCTGAGTTCCAGTGGCACGCAGCCCTCAGCATGAAAAGCACATTTTTTCCCTCTCCTCCTTTAGTGCTAGGAACCTTGCTCAGACATCTCAAAGCACCTGAGGATAGTGCTGTGCCCTGCAGCCTCCAGACAGCCTTTCCTTTCCAAGCATGCCTGCTCCTTAAGGATGATGACTCCTCTTTGTGGCTAATCTGGAATTAGAGAGGACATTCACACACTCACAGCATCTGCCAGAGGGGGAAGGCATCAGAGCCTGGATCCTGCCCCACAGTGGAGCACTGCCAGGGAGAAGCCAACTGCATGTGTTGACTTAAGAAGCTCCCATCTCATCACCTCAAAAGGTTGCTGTTTTTGTGACCTCCAGCAGCCTTTTAGCAGCCTCTGTGAATTGTATTAGTAGCTGATTTACTATTTGTTATTTCATAAGGCATGAAGCTGCTCTTTCATTTGCTCACACACCACCAAGTCCAACTACATGAAAACTCAGTCTGTGATCACTGGGGCTGTTTCCTGATGGAAGAAAAGAGGAATAAATAGTGAGGGAAAAGGTTTATTGGTACTGCTTATTCCCAGACAGTCAGGTTTCCAAACAGCTATTAATGAAGAGCTACTACTAAAGAAAAAAAAAGGAAAAATGTCTGGAGAAAACTGCCTCAGGACATCAAACTCTATCAGTAACTGGGATTTCTCGATGGAGCACGGTGCTATTAAAATACAGCTGAACTAAGTACTTGCAGTTTGGTCTGTCATTAGGTATTTAGTGAGATGCAAAATTGATCCTCACTTTAAAGGGCTCTTTCAAAGTCTAGAGGCAACACTTGCTGTCTCCTTGTGCTGTATAATAGAGATGTTCCTAATGAAATTCAGCAGGAGCTGGAGGCAACCAGGGAAAACCTCGGCCAACTTTATAACAGGCAGATTTATGTTCAGGGGTGTCCTGCTCTTCCAATGAGTTATTCTGCACAGGGCAGGGATAACAGGTTCTCCATTCATGGCTTGTACAAGCGTGGCAGAAGGTCAAGTTCCCTGGTGGGGCTGGCTCTGTGCTCAGGGGCTGCTCTCACATCTGGGGCTGGGCTGAGCAGCTCCATCCCATTTCCTACTAAAGCAGCCCAGGGAGCCCACTGGGGCCAGCTGGGCCTAGAACTGGGCCCAGCCCACTGGAGCAGATGGCAGGTGCTGGTGGTGGCAGTGACATGGGGCAGTGCTGAACCAGTGACCCAGAGGTGAAAGGCTCCATATCTCCCATTATCAATCCCCAGAGCCCCCTCAGGAGTAAGTGTTGATACATTAATCTTTCTGACTGATGAAAACAAACATTCCACAAGGGAATCTTTATTTATATTGAGCCCAAATCACGCTTAAAAACATAAAGTTAAGGGCAGGCTTAGGTTTCAGCCTTCCTAGTTAATGCCACCCTTTTTCCCTTCCACCAAATGTAAAGAGCACGTCATCAAGCATTAGACTGAGCACAGCCCCAGTGTGGATGGCTGCAGTAAATAATAAACTGGTGTTTGTGTTTCCTGCTGTGCATGCTGTCTTCCTAAACAGTTTAATAAAAAAGGAGTATATTTCCAAGCACTGCTGGAGTGCCTCGATGAAGCATGTGGTGTAGGATAAATACCTCCACATCAGGACACTTTTCAAAGCCATCAGGCAGAGGGGTCAGTCTGTTGTGGGTTTTTTTAAAACTGCACAAGCTAATGCTTTAAGAGTGTCTTGATGGAATCAGGGAAATTGGATTGTCCCCCCATTTGCTGGCCTAAAACAAGCCTTTTTTTATTTATCCCATTAGAGGAACACAAGAGAAACCTTTTAAATGTCACTAAAATTTTCCCTGCATTGCAAAACCCAGTCAAAAGGGTTTTAATTTTCCCTGAGACCTCTTAAGTAATGCAGTATGTCAAGATTTAATACCTTGTGTGCAGGGGATTGTCTGCATTCTGTGCTGTTTCACCAGGGTGACTCCATAGGGTCGGTCCTGGTCACTGGATTTGGTCCCTGTCAGCACTGAGCTGCTCAAACAGCCCACACCAGATCAGCTCTGCTGAACAAACAGGCAAGGCAAAACAAGATGAGATGCAGCTTTCCCTGGACCAGTCTGGGACTACCAAAAATTCAGCAGGGCTGCTCACTCTCCAGTGATTTTGCTCTGTGAGTTGGGACTCTCAAGTTTTGGAAAAGCCTGTCATTTTTAGGCTTCATTCACTTATTTATAGGAGAGCTAGGGAGAATTGTCAAGAGGTGCTTTTGTACATAAGGCTCCACATTCCCCTGGCATATTTAAGAAGACAAACAGGGCAATGCCAGAGGCAGAGGCCAGGATTGTAAACTGGCAGAGCACAACACATTAAAGCACACTGGCTAAAGATGGCACATTGGCTAAAGATGGCAACAGGACCATGACACCTTTGAAGGCTGGGCTGGTGCCCGCTCCAACCTTGCTGTCCCAAGGGCTGAGGGCATTAATGCCAAAACAATTTCTCATCCCACTTTTCAGCCAGTCTGGGAGCTATGGGTGATCTGACCCCCCAAAGTAACCCTCACTAGGAACATTTGCTACTGAAATACACTATTAATTTGCTTTTGTGGGATATGGGAGTTTTCTATCTATGCTGTCATGTTTCTTTTTGCAGACAGTGAACAGCTCATACCACAGTGAAAGAGGACCTGGGATGCCAAATCATTTTGAGTGTGTAATTCTCCCCAAGCCTGGTTTTGCAGAGAAAAGAGGAATTGGAAGGCAATGAGCACCCAAGCTGGGGTATGTGAGCCTCCAGTCTCTTGTTCTGGAATTCAC